TGCTGAGGTGCTACTCTTTGACGGGGTGTTCAGACAAGAGATTTTCGGCTCTGCTCTCGCAGTCAGCTCTCAAGCCAAAGGGGGGGCTGGAGGCATTTTGCCTGGTAGAGTAGTAACGAGCAGCATGCAGGACTCTGAGAATCCAGTATCGCTGGACATGCCCATGCTTGCAGAAGAAGTGGATGCAGCAACACAGCTAGAGTCCGTGGGTGGGTCAGGAGTTGCCGACCTCCTATGTGTGCCTTTGTCTTCACCGGAGCCAGCCGGTGCAACGCAAATGGACACCCCGAGCCCCGTGCCAGAGGCCTCGGGCTCTGAAGCACTGATCAACCCAGAGCCCTCTGCTCATCCAGCTCTCGAGACACCTCCACGGAGCAAGAGAAGCCTCACGGACGCGGAAGACCAGCTTTTCACTCCGCCGGCTACCGCTCGTTTTCGAAGGACTGAGGGCTCGGCCTCTGCTTCGCCTGAGTTTCCGACGCCTCCATCGAGTGAGATCCGCGAAGTCTTGTCCAAGCTCGTGGAGACAGGCCCTGCCGTTGATCCTTACATGGAGGTGACGTCACGAGATGATCAGAGCCCTATCGGCTTGCCCTTGATGGCCCTAGAGAGCCAGGTGCAACAACAGGTGCTGGCCATATACCATCTATTCCTGTGCCTGGACTATCCACCACAGAAGCCGAGCGAGCAGCGGCGGACGATCGAAGGAGCACTTTTGCAACCACTTTTGGAGCAGATGATCCAGGGGCTGATGGAAGATTTCCATCGGCATCAGGTGGAGAGGGGCATGAGGTACTCAGTGAGCGGCCCTTTGCGCATTCCACGGCCTTCAGAATGCCATACGATCGAGCGGCTCCTAGAAAGTCAGGAGTACAATACTCTACCTGCTGGTCTGCCTGAACCGAAGCCACTGCAGCTTTTGAATTGCAAAGGACAGAAGAAAAGACCCGCCGCTGCCGGCTCAATGCTTCTCGTCTGCACCGGCTTCGTTGTGTAGGTGTACTTGGCAATGTCAAAGCCACCCCTGATGGCCTGAGGAAAAAGCCATCCGCGTTGAATCTGCTACCTGTCTGCATCTGTTTTGTAGATGACGACCAGACATCTAATGGCCAGATCTAGTGCCCACACCCAGTGGCCAGACCCAGTGGCCACACCCAGTGGCCACACCTAGTAGCCGCACCCAATAGCCACACCTGGTAGCCACACCTAGTGGCCACACCTAGTAGCCACACCTAGTAGCCACACCTAGTAGCCACACCTAGTATTAGCCACACCTAGTAGCCACACCTAGAGGCCACGCCTAGTAGCCACACCTAGTAGTGGCCGCACCTAGTAGTGGCCACACCTAGTAGTGGCCACACCGAGTGGCCACACCTAGTGGCTACGAACAGTAGCCACACCTAGTAGCCACACCTAGTAGTGGCCATACCCAGTGGCCAACCTAGTAGCCACACCTAGTAGCCACACCAGCCACACCTAGTCGCCACACCTAGTCGCCACACCTAGCAGCCACTCCTAGTAGCCACACCTAGTAGTCACACCCAGTAGCCACACTTAGTGACCACACCTAGTAGCCACACCTAGTAGCCACACCAAGTAGCAAGTAGCCACACCTGGTAGCCACACCTTGTAGTGGCCCACACCTAGTAGTGGCCACTTGTACACCTAGTGGCCACACCTAGTAGCCACATTTAGTGGCCCACACCTAGTAGCCACACCTTGTAGCCACACCTCACTCCTAGTGGCCACACCTAGTAGTGGCCACACCTAGTGGCCACACTTAGTAGCCACACCTAGTTGCCACACCTAATAGCCACACCTAGTAGTGGCCACACCTAGGAGCCACGAGTGGCCACACCTAGTGGCCACACCTAGTAGCCACCTAGTAGCCACACCTAGTGGCCACACCTAGTCACACCTAGTAGTGGCCACACCGAGCGGCCACACCTAGGAGCCACACCTAGTGGCCACACCTAGTAGCCACATCTGATGCCCGCGCCGCGCATGTCCGGCCTTTGCGAATGCTTCTGCAAGCTCTCGCGGGGAGCGAACTCTTCCGAGACAAGACTTGGTAAACACGTGCACGCTGCTGGTGCTCTTTCTGTTTTGACCATCCTCAAAGAGGACTGTCCGCTATAATCGCATGGAGCACTCAGGCTTCGCCCTAGGCTCCAGTTTGTCACTGCATGCCGCATGCCGCCTGTGGCCTCAGAGCTGTGCAGCAAGCTCTTGGCTACGAGTGAAGACAGAGATAAAGCAGAAAACAACAAGGCGTCACTGACAGCTTCTCCAGTCGCAACTCCATCCAAGCGCAAGTGGTTTGCTTGTTTTGCTTCGAATGATTTCATGCCTGCTCCATGGCGCGTGACGCGGAGGTACTGGTTTTTGACGGGGCGCTTCCCGTGGATAGCATCTGCCATCGTTTTTGTCATTCAGTCGAGGCTGTGGCACTTCTTCGCGAATTTCTCGAAGCCAGAGGAGGCCATAGCGGTCAGTTGAGAAGTTCGCGCAGCTTCTCCGGGCACGTGTTGCCAGACCTGGATCCTACGCGCAAGGTCCCGATTCGAGGGTGCTCACTTTCCTACGAGGTGCAGTTGCCAAAGCCTCGCACTGCCATGAGGACATATGAGGCTCTCTTTGCATCTAGCTGACCGTCTTGAGATCTCTTGAGGCTGCGGCGATTCGGATACGACTTGATTGCGCCAGAACCCGAGAGTTTCCCACCAGTTTTTACACGACCACTAATATCCGAAGTAGGCTTGCAGGGGTTCAAGCAGGTTTGGCGGGCATGATGCCGTGTTCGCGCACGAGTCAGCCCGGTGCCACAGAGTGCCCAGATGGAAGGGCAGCTGTAAGTGTCAAGGCGCGATTGCTTGGCTTGCTCTAGGTGCGGAGTGCCTTCCGCGCTTTCACGGAAGTGCCGATGGACGAATTTGATTGCTACAACAAGGTCTCGTGGTAGCTTGACTAGTATCTGTTGTCGTGCCTGTGGTGCTTGTGTGCAGAAGTGTCTTTGCAGCCTGACCTGGCTCAAGAAAGTGTCAGGGTTTTGGCTTGGGACTGGCTTCCGCGGCAATGGATTGAGCTTTCTGGTTGCATCGCAGCAAGAATCTCTGGCGAGTGGTGCACGTAGGAACACGCGAGATGAGCTCGGACTGAGGTCTGCCAAATTCGACTTACGTCAGCTCGAAGGGACCTCAGATTGTCCTCGCGTGGGGCTTCGGACTTCCACTAGTGGAACCGGGATTTAGCGCACTGCGGGAAGCATCCCGAGCATTTTAAGAAGGGGACAGTGGATGGTTCTGTAGTGTGCACAACATTGCAGGGCTTGAAGGTAGGCCAGTGTGGCTTCCCCAGCGGTTGTAATGTTCTCACTTCCAGCGGTAGATGGTGTCACATGGACCCCAGAAAAGCTGTCTGGAAGGACACCTAAGCGCATACGGCCATACGTCATCATACGTGTTTGTCGTACTTGAGAAGGCTCTGGGCATGCGCCGTCTATGCTGCTCATACATCGCCCTGTTGCTCCATGCCGGCGCACTACGGCCGCAAAACGATGCCCCCTGGCAAAGCAGGTTGTATTGAACGCATGGCCATGTTGCCACAACCGAGGACAGGAGAGAGGCGGACCCGGATAAGGATGGCGAGTGGGTGGATCCAGTCGATTTAGATAGCCCTGTCACTCCCAAGCTGCCTCCATTCCAAGTGCAGCTGACTCTCGGCTATCAGAGGATCTAGACAATAGACGGCCTCGCACATGCAGATCCCTCGCACATGATTCAGGACTGTGAATGATGAAAGTGCAACTTGTCCTGAAGCTACAGTAGTACATGACAGTGCAACTGTTCCCAAGCGGCCGGCCCGCCACTCAGGCAGCTCTCAAAAAGGAAGACGGGTCCCTGCTGCCACCTCAGCTAGTCTTTGTCCGCCGCTGCCCCAGACGCTGGTACAGATACATATCCGGCCTGTTCCGCCCAGCCTTGGCGACTTGATCTACATGTTCATGCCCCAGAGCGACGGCTTGGACGCCCTTGCATCGGCAATCGTCAGAGACCTTCCACCGCTGCTGGAGAAGGCAGCACCTGCACGCTCACAGATACATGCGAATTGCCAGAGAGATGAAGATCCCTGTCAGCGTGGTGCGGAAGGAAGGATTGAAATGCATTCTGGCCAAAGACGGATCAGAAGGATTCTTGGTGAGTGAAGAATGTCTGCAGTCCCTCCTGGTGTAAATTGTGAGAGCTCAGGACATGACATTCGGCTCATGGTCGAAATAACAGGTATCTTGGACAGATGTGCGTGTTCGCACGCAAATCTGCAGACACGTGCGCAGGGGAATGCGAATCTTCTCTGGAAGGGTAGAAGCAGCAACAATTGTCACCGTGCTATCTAACCTATTTTGCGGTGGTAGACGGTTGTAATCTGTTATAACCTGTAATCGTAGAAGATTGCTGTCGGGGCATGCGCAGGCTACAAGCTCAAGGACATTCTGGCCAGCCAGACCAGCGAGGCCCGAGACGTCCAGCAACAATGACATGCGAGAGTGACATGAGCGCATGTACACTAGCGCTTCATGACGTTTTTGTTCTTACAGGTAAGTAGAGTTGTAAAGCATCTTGAACTTGTGCTCAAGACAGATTGCCAGCACAAGATCCAAACGGTGGAAGGCCAGGCGAATGTGTTCGGGAGAGGCATGATGTCGATCGAACATCCACTGCAGCGCTGGCTGACGGACGACGGCTGCTACGAGCCACGCGATGCACGGTGCACGCTCCGCGAACGGCATGAACGTGGGACATCGCCCGACCTCGAACGGCAGACGGAAATTGTAACGAGATGTGACGAGCATCACAAGCCTAACAGCCCGAAACCTCCCGCAGCCAACGCACGGAACTTCCAAAACGTGGACGAGTCCACCCGGCAGCCCTTGCCAAGAATTCAAGACAATCAGCGAGTCGAGCTCCAGACTCTGCAGGGATGCAGGGACTGGCGCGAGCCCCATTTTGCTGCAGAAAGTGCGCGGAAGTTATGGCAGGACCCCGAAACGTTGGATGTTCCTATGAAGACGAGAAGACCCAAACTCTACTTGTGCAATTGGAGTGCGGCGGTGTTACACCATGTTCGTCCAAACCCAGACCCATCGGGACCTTTGGCGTGAAACGTACATTGCGATACGGTGAAAGGAGCGGTTCAGTTGTACTGAACCTATCGTGTCGCCTTTGTTACTGCAACATGCGCACGCCCATACACAGATATTGCTACCCTCACGGGCACAGCGACAGATTGGTCAACAAACATCCATGCACTTAGCGAATTCTGCATCTCTCTCAAGCAAATGGACGCGCAGCACACACCAAAACACCTCAGCTGCAGCAACGGTGGCCGCACATGCATGTGCAAACATGGTTAAGCCCCAGTCATAGCAATATACTGGCAACCATACATTACACGCTCTCTTCTTCGATAGATCTTGCACATTATTTGTAGAGGACTGCTCTTTTTTGCTGTCGATTGAAGGGGCTACTTGCATCAGCATCATGATTACGACTCTTGGCTTTTGCAACAATGTAAAGCATAAGATAACACGTGCTTGCGCATAGTGACATCTGCGAAATGCAGTCAACAAATGCATGCAGAGGTGAAAGCGTGTACGTGTGGGAAGCCAAAAACCATAGTTCTCGGGCATGATGAAGTTAAGTAGCACCGAGTGTGCACTAGGTAAGAGTTCGCAGCATACATGGTTCAAACTCCCCCAGCTTGTGGAAGAGCTGCAGGAATTCAATTCTACACTCTCGACATTGCCATTATTGTTCCCACCTCTGGGAGTGCCCCGCCTCAAGAAGGATGGGTGTCTTTAGGGCCTGTGTTCAATCCCGTAATACTTCTTGCATAAATCTTTTTGTGAGTGCCGTTGTGAGTCGTGCAACAAGGCTCAAAAGGAGCAACTTGGCGTGTTTGCTCCGAGCTTGCTTCGATATTGTCATCTTTGCCACCTTGTTTAGAGATCCTTGTCGAATAGGTATGATGCTGTACACCAGAATCCGGGCAGCACGCTAATTCCTCTGGTCCACTCTTTGCAGAGTCGAGTCTCCAGCCTGTGGCAAGGAGAGTGAAGGAATTTTTAAAGATCAAGTGGATGCGGAAGATACCAGAGATCTTCAACACACAGCTCTTGACGATGGGGGTAGATGCAGACACCTCCGCTGCCTGATGCACGCTGAGTTTTTGGTTAAGGCCTGTCCAACGTTGCTTTTGCTTCTGAGGTTGTGCCTCCTCCCCCGGATTTGCCGAAGCCGGACAAGCTTCCTGCGCCGGAAGGCCTCAAACTCTTTCTGAGGGCACCTCGGCAGCTTATGGCTTATGCGTGCAGGCAGGATGCCGCAGGATGCCTGGATCTAAGGTGGAGCTGGAAAACAGGCTCGCCATGGCAAGAACGGTGGACCCAAGCCTGGGAGACGAGGCTGTCAAGAACATGAGCCAAGATGAGTTCATCCGTCTCATCCGACCCAAGCTGAAGGCACACAGGGGTTATCAAAGCGGGTATCAATCTCGCCCCTCTTTGGCTTCGAGGGTTGGGAGGGCTGGCCTCAGGAACACATAGCCAACGCTGTGCGTGCAGCTCGCCCGAATCAGCTCTTTCTGGCCAGTGGTTCAGAAGTTACAGACCGTCAGACGTGCCTCTCCAAGACGACGTCATAGTCGTTTTGGCATCCAAGGAAAAGCTCGGGGATTCGTTCCCGTTTGACGGTGAACCTCAGAGCAGGTGGCCCAGTTTCGCCCAAAACGGCAGTGTCAGCGTGGAATCGAAGCTTGAGCTCACCTGGGGTGCCCAGGTGACACGGATTTTGGACATCACTCGAAGCACAGCTTCTGGCTCCCGCTGAGCGTCCGCAATGTGGATGAGGAGAAGGCCCTGAAGAAGATCAAAGGAGAAGAGCTTGCAGGCACCCGGCTAGATTCATTTGTGGGATGTCTTGGGTCTGTGAAGACAGACCTGCAGGAAACTTTTCCCAGTTCCTCGCCTCGCTGAACAAGCTCGCGACAGGCCGGGTTTGAAGATTGAAGGCAGATCCGAGTAGAGTTAGAGGTACCATGCACCATGGCCTGGGCTAGGTGGAGTGGGCGGCCTGGTGTCTTGGACGATACTCGTAGTGGTGCCATCGATCGCAATGTCCGTCTTTTCGAGTAGACCGAGGCCCCTGTGGCCACGGATCTCCGGGCCACGGTGCGACACTCTCAGCTGAAAGAGTTGCACACAGGCCAGCATTTGCAACAAGCCCATCGGCCACCTAACTCGGATGACATAGCGTGAATTCTGATTCCCCGAAACGTGCTGTGTATTTACAGATGTGCTTGTACGGATTTTGCACGACGACGAATTGTGAAACTGCGAATATGTTGGGAAATGTTAACGTAGTTATTATGCGATCAGTGGCTGTTGCGGATGCCAGCTGTGAACTCCCTGTCGGGGATACGGAACAGCAGGAAAACAAGGTAGGACAGGTAGACAAAAAACCACAAAGCTTGCGAACCTGCTCCTTGTCACCCCAAGGGCGGCGGCGTGCAGGAAGATGTCGGAATAAGAGACGGAATATATTGAGATACTCCTACCCTAATGTCTCACTTCTGTCGAATCGAAGAGCCTCGCCTGCAGAGTCCGAGTTGCGAGAGTCCAAAGTCTCCCTTCGCCTGGAGATCTCGCACGCCGTGTTGCTGAACTTCTTCACGCAGAAGTTCAGGCCTTTTGGGGGGATCTTTCCAGCTGCAAGTCGTTGCTTGTGATCGTGCGCAGGCCGTCAGCAGCTCCGCCTACGAATGGCTCCAGAAACACGCTTCCGGTGGCATCTGCTGCCGAAGCGAGAAGACAAGCTCCAGGGGAAAATCTACAGACGAGGCCACCGCCGTACTGTCAGACTGTAGGACCCTGTAGGATCGGTTTGCCTTTGAACTGGAAGGTGTTCT